ATCAAAGAATATTTCCTTGAATTCTTCCCATGTAAGCTGACGTCTATCTATTGGTCTTATGGAATTCCACCAATGTTTAGCATCCTCAACCAGATACACTGTGGCTATGATCACCTTCTACTCCGTAGAGCATAGTACCACCTCAAAGATGGTTTCAACTCTCTCTATCCATTTCTCCGCTTCTCCTTCCTTCATAGTTCCATTAAAGGTTGGAGGGTTAAACTAAGAGAAAGTCCTCCATGCTCAATCAATAGCCATCCCTTGAACATCTCCATTCGCTCTCATCCCAGACGATCCAGGTCTACTACTAGAACCATGAGATGGTTCTAATCTGCTCTCATGAGCTTCCTCTTACCTCCTTTGTTCCTCCTCACGACCTCTATTTCGGAGCAAAACATCATGGTCTTGAATAGTTCTCTGGATGTTCCTCATCATATCCCGCAATTCTTTAAGAATTGCATCATTACCCTAGGGCCTTTGTTGTTGTTCTACTTGTATCTCCGGCTGTACCTCCAGTATAGGCCCATCATTCTTCAGTAAATTACTGGCATTTTGAATGCTTCTCCTAACCATTTTCTCCCCTCCTAAGGAAGAAACCAAGTAGAAAAGGGAAATTAGTGGGAAGTAAAGGAAATGAGATAAAGGGAAAGAGTTGTGTACATAAAGTTGCCAACTAATGAGAATGAATGCAATAGAGACATCACCATAACCAGATCTCATAACCCGAGAAACTGATACCAAATTGTAATGTCCACCTTGACATTACTAAAATTCACCACACAATCACAACAAATAATCATTATTAGGAGTAAGGATTTGCTCCTAATCTCACATTATATATAAAAGGGTTAAAACTAATAATCTTTTAAAAATAATTGAGGAATATTTAGGATCCCATAAAAACCCTTTAAATTGATAGTTTGAGCTCAAACTTAAGGTTTTAAATGGGCATTGGAAGTATGGAAAAGTTTTGGGATGTAAACCACTTCAAAACAGGGCCAAAAATGTTATTTTTAAATGTTTTGGTCCATGCACCATGGCTCATGGTCTGTGCATCGTGCCATGTGGCACAGAAAAATAAGTTTCCTCACTGTACCATGCGCCACAGCTTGTGCGAAATGTGCTGCGGTGCACCTGTCCATGACTGCAATGTTGTCATGATAGCTTTCCTGGATGAACTTCGAACGTGTGTCATTTTCACATACGATGTCTGATTGGAGTGATTTAAGTGCCCACACGAAGCTTATTCAATAAGCTAACTAATGGTACAAATTGTTATAATTTGACACTATATGACAATTTTAGACACTCAGATGTAAAAGTTAGTTTTTCAAAGAAATTTTCAACCATCCAAGTACCCAAAACCCATAACTTATACCATTAATCCATTGTGAGGCTTGAACCAAGTCCAATAGACCAAAATACACTTGAGTAATCAATCAAACACACAAAAACATACCAAACACAAAATTTGACCACTTAATATGGCCAAAATGCACAATTAGCACAATATGGCCAAAATGCACAATTAGCACTACAAGCACTATTTGGCCTCTATTGCCACATAATACATTACCAATATATTATCACCACTTAGATAAAACATTCCTTGTACTTGTATTACTATTTTAGCTCATCACCATAAAAATTCCCACATATTCACATCACATACCATATTGGGCTAAAATACAAAACAACATAGTATGAAACAAGTGCAACCAATCAAAATGATATGTATTCCTATTGGCAACATATAATATTATAACAAGTTTATGTACACCACTCAAACCAAAATCGAGCCTTACAATTAGAATGTAGCAAGTATGCTAGTACTTGTCTGATTCCCTCCCTGGCTCAGTCTCACTTGTAAAACCTGTAAAATGATAATCCACGGGGTGAGATAAAAATCTCAGTAACTAAGATAATCTACATTATTGATTAATAAGCCAAGTTATAAACAAGCATTAAAATAAGTAACATAATCACATTATATAATATCACCATAAATTTGCATGCATGATCCCTAACCATCCGGTCCTCCAATACTCCCAACCAAACCAGTAGGCTATTTTACAGAACCAAACCACATGTATGGTCCCCAAGCTCACTAACCATGGTAGGACTACCCGGCTAAGGTGTCTCAAACCACTTCTGGACTATTGGTTCCCCCTATTACAAGTAATTGGGGTGTCGTTACTCCAACACCGCATCTTACAGATACTAAGGAGCATAATATCTAACTCCGCACCCTTTTGGGTACTAAGGAGAGTAAGTCTCCAACACCGCACCTATTTTCAGGCACTAAGGAGAGTAAATGCTGCACCTAGCGTCCCGAGGTGCTAGCAATGTCATATAGACTTAAATCTTCACTATCTCTACTAGGGTGACCTCCCACCCTCTAATATGCCACATTTCACTACATATCTCCACTTGACCATGCATAAACAACTTTTCAAACAAGTATAACAAAATCTTTCCATTTACTTCAAAAATATAGAATTTTACAAACCAATACTCCACTTTTTCTAAAAATAGTTACCCTTTAAAGAATTTATGCGTATATACTCAACAACTCATAGAAAAACAACTTGAGAATAACTTATACAAGGTAATAAACAATGTAAATTATCTAGTTACCTCAACCCTTTTGTTACTAAAAGGGTTACCCGTGGTACTAATTCTCTTCTTGTGTCAAGGTACGTCTTCCCACACCACAATCTACATCAATAAGTACTATATATTAATTTTTGATTAACACAAGCACCATTAGCTAATAATAACCTCTAAATTCTCCCACTTCTCACTCAAATTCTCAACAAATAGACTTGTCAAGATTAGAATTTGTTCACTTTATCCCTTTAAGTCTCTTTCTAACTCTATCATAACATAAAACTCAATATCTCAACTTATCACACTTCAACACCCTATGATCAAGCTGGGGCTTGATCCAACTCCCACTAAACAATAAAGTAGCTTTATATTACCACATATTCAAGATCAATAAACCTAAATTAAACCTTTAGAGTCAATAGAAACCTTCAAAACATTGACTCATGGCTTAATCCCATCAGACCAAATTCTCACCCTTCCAAATCCCATGAAAAATGAGATGAAAAGGTAAAGGAGAAGGGTAGGAATCTTACCCAAGAGTTTGAAGGCTCAAATGATCTTCAAAATCCTTCCAAATTGATGCCTTAGCAGTGCCCAAAGTTGCTTCCTTCATGCTCTAGGTTTTCCACCCTAAAATCTGAGTTTTTTTGCTGATTCCTGAAAATTTAAGTTGTCTGCTGTGCCGTGCGTCGCAGCGCACACCACGCAAGCTGGGGCTCACGGCGCAGCGAGCAACAACTTAATTTTGCTCCCCTCGATGCTCCCCAACTTGATCCGACTTTCATCCTATCTCAATGTAGAGCCAAATATGACCCAAAAATCTAATTAGCCACCCAAAAACATAATTAAATAAATTAATCATATTTTTAACTAATTTATCCTTTAATTAATCCATTTTTCCAGATTTGAAGTTTTAGGATGTTACAATTAATTTATTTAATATGGGGATTAAAATTTTGGATGTTACACATTAGTCGTGGATCAATCTACATATTACATAATCATCATCATTAATGACTAATTAATATATATTTTCTCTAATTAAAATTTAACCTCAAAAATCCCATTGTGGTCATATACCAAAACCAAACCCATTTCTAGGTTCCATAAGGTCACTTAGACTCCTATTAGTCTAATGAACACTACTAATCACCCTTAACCTCACAAACTCAATTAATTAGCTCTAGGGTTTGCCCAAAATCCTACTTTAAAACCCTAAATCATCGTTAGCATCATAAACCTTTGGTTAGACATTTAAAAAAAATATCCAACAACTCCCCTAGAGTTAGATCAATAGATGAAAACAACACCATTTTGGAACTCCATACACCAATACCAAGAAACTCACAAGAAAAATGCATAAGGATGCAGATGTTAGAAGAATTATCCAAGAGTTTAGAGGCTTCTAATAGCTTCAAATAGCTAAATCTTATAAACCTTAATAGAGCTCAGTCACCTCTCTCAATCTCTCCTACCCTCTCTATCTATTTTTGACCAAAAAAAATGCATATATGGAAAACTTAAATTTCAAGTGTTGGTTGTGGCCAAAGGGACCTTAGGCTATAGGCAAAAGGCCCAAAATCAAGGGTTCGAATATGGTCAATATAATTAGACTCAAATATTGCCTAATACCATTTAGGGTCCAATTCTAATATCTAATTAAGGTCTAATAGACCCAATGATCATCTATATATAATACTTCTATAGCACGACTGCACATGACAATTCAACAAGATTTTGTTAAACCAAATATAATTGTTTTAATTACTTCCTGATGTTTCCAACATTGGTGATTTGATAATCACTCATTAGTTGGTCAAAGTAGTTGCTTAAAATGATACTTTTATATTTTATATGAGTAAGAGGTATTATTAGTCTACTAGGATTTGTTTCTAGTTTAAAGGACTTAATTAGTATTAATTTTTGCTTGAGGTTTTTTTTTTTTTGTTATTTTTGTTGGTCATTCTTCATAAACTTATGAGAGGTAATATTGGGTTACCATTGACTTGACAATGCCCAACACACCTGAAAAATCAATTTCCAAACAATTCCATCAAGCTTCTCAATTACCTTCAAATCCCTAGCCCAACAATTTCCAAACATCAATATTTAAATTCATCATGCTTTTCAAATAACCCAACTCCCCAACAAGTTAAGCTCTAAGGAATAAAATATAAATTCATTTTTTCTGCAGCCACGAAAGCAATTATAATAAATTTTACCTACCATGAGCTTCCTACTCCAATTCCACTCTCACTCACCTCGCAAACCGTAGTAGCGAAGAAGAGGAAGAGCTAAAGGAAAATCCAAGCTCCCTCAACGAGAACAGCAACAATGAAATAGGGAAGAAGAAAAAAAATATTATCAATTGCATTGTGAAATACCCAAAATGTCTTAGGGAATAAATGATAAATATTTAATTTTTTGATATTTAATTCTGGAACTCAACTTAACATAGAAACCATCAAATCGTACAAATACTACTGAGACTGAGAATCCAGATAGCAAGAAGCTACTCCTTATTAAAAATCCATTTATTTCTCAACATCATTTTCTCCTTCAACAAGAAAATCAATTCCACTCAATCTGATGATCTGCTAATAATTTACTTGCGGTTGACTTGGAGCTTACAAACGTGTTCAATGAAAGCATCAAGATTGACTTGAGTAGAACCACCAGGAGCCACAGCCTTCAAACAAGCCTCGCGAAGCCCTTTAGCCTTCTTCCTCATCTCCTTAATCTCATCTTCCTCGCCATCCATGAATTTCCTCACAAGCTCACTTATCTCCTCTCTGCTTACAAGTCTCTCTAACCCTATCTTCTTCCTCACCCTCCACCCACTCTTCCACTCCTCCACTATCCTCTTACTGTTCGGCACCTGGTCCCAGAATATCGGAAACGTCAGGACCGGAACGCCGGAGAACGCCGCCTCCAGCGACGAGTTCCATCCACAGTGTGACCAGAACCCTCCGACCGCCGGGTGGCACAATACCTTCAGTTGATCAACCCACGGCACCACCATGCCTTTTTCCCCGACCCTGTCCTTGAGACTGCTCGTGTTTCCACGCGCCACCCAGAGGTACGTGACTCCACTGCTCTTAATCCCGGCCACGATCTCGTCCATTTGGGTGTTTGAGGTGGAGAGGAAGCTTCCCTGAGAGACGTAGAGGACGGAGGCGTCAGGTTGGCAATCAAGCCACTTGAAGTAGTCGTTGGTGGCTGCAGCGGCGGTGGCGGTGGCGGGGTCGGTGGCGGGGTCGGTGAGCTTGAAGAAAGGGACGCTAGGGCCTACGGGGAGGACGGGGATGTTGTATTTGGATCGTAAAGCGTTGACTGCTTCGGGTTCGAGCTCGTAGGCGGTGGTGAACATGAGGCACTGTGAGGTGGAGACCAATCGGACGGTGTCCAGGGCACGTTGGAGGAGTTTTAGATCTTGACCGTGAAACACAGTTGGGAGGTCTCTGATTTGTGTTGGGGCCATTCCAGGAATATAGTCTACAATTTCATCTCCCATTTCTGATACATAATTAACACCATAATCTCATTATCACAAAAAAAAAAAAAAAAACAAGAAAGAAGAAGAAGAAGAAAAGATTAGAAACGTTACAGAACAAATCAAGTAATGTTAAATTTTGAGTTCGTAGCATATGACTTGAATCCTTGAGGACGTACGACCACAAAGCTACTATAGTTTCTCTTAACAGATTTTAGTTTTCTCGCTTCCAAATATATATTCAGATATGGTTTATAATAATAATAATTAGTTGAAGTGAAGTAGTGCGTGCAAATGCTTGGAATTCAAACCTTATAATATAAAAATTAAAAAAATTAAAAAATGACTTCATTTATTAATTATTTCCTCCAATCTTTGTTATAAGGCACATTCAATTACCTCAACAAAATCAAAGAGCAACTTTGTTTGAAAATAAAATAAAGTTTTAATTTTACCTTTGTTTAAATAAAAATTTTTTGAATTTATATTATATTCTCTCTTATAGTTAATGAGTTTAAATAGATAATATTAAAAAAATAAATTAATATCACATCATATGCCTTACATTAAAGATAAAAAAAAAATGAGCCCAGAAGATGCCCTGTGTAAACATATAACTTAAAATTCCATTAACTGGTCAAATATTGAGTATAGTAAATAATGCGATTACTGACCAATAAATTTCTGTAAAATTTACTTTTTTAAGAAAGACAGAAATATTTTTATGTAAAATAATAACATAATTTTTTCAAAAATAGAACCTTACATAAATTTAGCAATCTCAATTCTAGTGAATTTAAATCCTAAATAATAACAAACCTGAGATGTCAATGGGAAAATGGCCCTTGTCTTTGAGCATATCAAAGTGGTAGAGCAGCGAGTAAATAGTAGCAGACATAGGCCAAAGAGAAGCGACGGGTATGTTCTTGCGGTTGGCAAGGCCGATAGACCAAACAAGCTTCGTGTCGGCGATTATGGCAGTGACGGGCGGGTCAAGCCGATCCAGAAGCTCCTCGAACGGAGCCTCCATCTTGGTGGAGACGGCGTTCATGAAACCCGGAAAGTCCTTGGCCCGATCCAACTCGGACGGAATAACGTTGGGTATGGTAGCGAACCGGACGTTGTCGGGTTTTCTCTCCGACCTGATGAAGCCGAGCCATTCCTCGGTGACGACGAAGGAGACGATGATGTCTGGCTTCCGAGAAGCCAGCATGGAGCAGAGGTTCATCATGGGGTTGACGTGGCCTCTGCCTGGGTAAGGCATGGCCACCACGTGGCACGCGGGAGAGATATCCACCTGCATGGTGCCCATAGTTGTTCGAAGTTTTGGTGAACAATTAACTTTCAATGGAAGGGATAGTCTGCCGCCTTTGATTGTACTGAAGGCTCGAGCTCGACTCTGGAAGGAAATGAAGGCCGTGAAAGGGTATTTATAAGGTGCGAGCTACTGCGCCAATGCAATCATGCAGTTCCAAGTTGATTGGCAAGAGGGATAGTGGCAACTGGTAACGCCAAACCAAAATTCAGAATTTCAGATGCTTGTCATGTAATGTTCTCTATCTGTTATCCGAAAATAATTAAATTTGACAGCCTGGAAAAGTATAGTACTATATTATCTGTACATCTCAAAAAAATATATCTTTTCAATTATATAAAAAAATTATTTATTAAAATTAAATTTCTACTACTGTTTAATGTTTAATAGGTGAAATAGAAATTGTTAGTTTTCGCTTGTATTATATTATGCATATAAATAATTTCGAAATAAATTTTATTTATAACCATGAAATTTAATTCTGAAATAATTTTCATGAGACTTTCAAGATTTCGTATCATGCATACAAATAATTTTTTTACTTTTTATTTTATTAATAAATATTTTGTGCTTTTTATTTTTTAAAAAATTAAAAATGAAAATATATTTAGCTGCTCGATTGTTCAGACATGGACCCAGAAAACAAACAAATATACTCTGAACTTACTTCATTATGCTCCTGTATGGCTGCATCACGCTACACTCTGATTGAAGCATGTCACCAATAGCGGGCCCTTCACTTTTAAGAAAATAATAGAAACTCAAACAATAAATAAATCTTTTAGAACGAAACAATAAATAAATCTCAGAAATTGATTGCTAATTAACTAAATTTTCTTCGAAGTATTACATCTTTCTTGACAAAAAAGTGGATAAATAATTGCTTGTTTAAATAGTTACTCTCTCTAACTTTTATTAGGTACAGAAAAATTGAACTAGTTATTAAATTAGTCAAAATACTGATTCAAAAGTTAATGTTTAAAATTATAATCAAACTATATCAAACACGTCTTTTTATGAAACCAATCAAAATAAGGATTTGCAGTTCATTATCTAGGTAAATTGACCCAAATTTTCATATTAAAGACATCTACCAGAAGAGATGGATAATTTTTATAATAAGTTACTTAATATAATATTATTTATATTTTTTCAATATTATCCTTATTTAAATTTATTAAAAAAGAAAGATAATGTAATATAAATTTTGAATTTTTCTAATAAATACATATAACATTGAAAATAATTAAACAAAGTTGATGTTTTAGTCACTTCTTAAGTTTGATTAAGTAGTTAGATGTGTCTTATAATATAACTCAAACAAAGTATTTTTGGAAAGTCTAATTACATTTTAAATAAATATACACCTTGTGGTCTTCAATAGTTATAATGGTAAACAACAACTACCTTACTAAGATTTTAATATTTGTTAAATTCATTCAATTTATCTCAAATTAAAATTTCATTTTCACAATGACCCTAATTAATTACTCAAATATATTATTTCTCTCCCTCTCGTTCTTAATGAGAACTTAACTCTATGAATAGTATAGGGCATTTGTAAAATATATTAATACATCAAACATTTATAATAATGTCTTGTATTTGAACCAATCCAACTCTCTTCCACCCTATAGGGAGTAGACTTTTTATATGCTATAAACAAAAAAATATACTTTTAATTAAATTTTATTTTATATTTTTTAAGGATAAGTTTATAAAAATATATAATAAATATTAGAGAAGTTGAACTTCCATGTGTTCTGTTTTATACTGCTTCTTTAGTTAGTTTTGAGAAAAATGTGAGGTTTTACTTTTTGAGAAGTTACGGCTTGGAGGGAACCAAGTGGAAAAAATTTCATTACCAAAGTTGAATATATCTTCTCTAATTATTGAAAACAAAACTGATTATTAAAACCAATTAAGGTATTATTGATTTAAAAGTTAATGGTCAAATTTTGGTTAAACTGCAATCAAACCTATTATAAAAAAATATTTTGTTAAACTAGTTAAGACATTGATTTAACAATTTATCTAGTGGCAGAGCAATCCTTAACATAAGAAAACTTTCTTTTTTCTCTTTCAAATTCACTATTTCTCTTCTTTCTTTCTTTTTGTTTCTTAATTCAACTTTTAGTTACAAACTTATAAGTGCAACGAGTCAATGAAATATATTCAATAAATTTACTCGAGTCTTGAATTTTCATTCTTCATTATTTTTTTGTCTTATTAGTCCCTTACTAGTATTCAAGAAGAGGAAAATATGGGTTTAGTTTAGCCAAATTAGCTTTTCTTTTTCTATTTTTTAAAAACATTAATAAATAATATTGTTGTTTAGATATAATGAAATTGTGAGCTAATATTCACAGACTTTAAGTTAAAAAAAGTAAATTTTAGATCTAAGCTAAAAAGAAATATTAAAATGGGTTTAAAATTTACAATATTAAAATAAAGAGGTGCAATATATAAGAAAGGGAGGGTGCAAATCGTAAAATATAAAAACTTATACTCCGTGCATCTTATTTTTCCCATATGCCCACCTTACCTACATGTGGCTTTGTCACTGGATTTACTAGTTTAATTGGGTAGATTAACCTGAATTTCCATATTATACTCCTAAGCAAGCAACTCCATATTGTCAGTTTGTATTATTCCCCATTACTCAAAGGTTGTAAACATATTTTTGTAAAGTGAAATATCAAGATTTTACTAACTGGAAATTTTATTAATACTAGAAACTGTGAATTAAATGAGGAAAATGATTGGGGAGAAAATTAAAAAAAAAGAAAAAGAAAAAGAAATGAATGATTGAGCCTAGATATTAGTAAATATAATGGAGGAGGGTAGTTGCAACATTGGCATATAAGTAGGGAAAGTCAGTGCCCGGAATGGAGTCATTTGCCATTCCCCATCTACAATTATTGCCGTATCATGGGCCAAGTGATCGATCACATGCCTCAACCAACACGTGACAACCCTGCCACCTTATTTCATTCATAACCATTTCCCTCCTCTATCTCAACCCTGTAAATTCGCCATAATTTCTGGTTACACGAGCACGTATAGTCTCCATCAATAACTTTCTTTTTATTCCGCCGTTTGGTATCCTCAAACATTTGGGTTATTATTAGGGCAAATAAAAGTTTAGCCATAGTGTTTTCACCCCCGAAAAAAAAGCCATAGTGGTTTCACCAAAAAAAAAAAATAGTTTAGTCATATTGAGTAGTTGATTCGTAAACTGGTCAACTATTCCTCTAAGGTTCTCCTCCACAAAAAAAGTTAAAGAAAATTCATGCAATATTAATTCTAGCTTTGATCTTTATTGAAATTATGAGTATGTTGGCTTTCAAATGGGAAATACAGTTCAATTGCATCTCTCCGACGACAAAAGCAAATAGTTGAGTTTAGCAAAAAGAATTTATCGTTCATATCACAATAATGATGAATTAATATTTAAATTTTTATTAATACATTGTTATGAGAGGTGCCTACATTTGTATCAAACTGTGATTTAAATAGGATTATCTTGCTCCAATAAAAGGATCGATGTTTGCAATCAAAATTTCTCTAGCAAAGGAGGCCAATGTTCTCTATATGAAACGAATTATCAATCCTTGAGGGTCCTTGTGCAGAAAGAGCTCGTGACTTCAAGCCTCATCTTTTTTTTAAAAAAAATTACCTCTAATATAACCCTTCCCTTTTCCATAAAAAATGGAAACACACGTCAACATGTCAATGCTAAATTTGAACCGAAAATTTTTTCAAGCAAGGGAGGTGATACTGTTAATGATATTCCTTGCCATTGACCAATCCCAGTTTTGTAATTTGGGTTTACTTTCCGGCCTGGCCCTTGTTTGTGTGTGTATGTATATGTATATGTATATGTGTGTGTGTATATATATATATATATGAAAACATCGTTTCTTTTATTTTATTTTATTTTTTTTTATTGGGGACGACTTTTCTTATTTTTGTGTGCAGTGCAACAAATTTGAGGCCATCTTTGGGCCTATTCCCCATCTACTTCCTTTAATTTAGGCCCAATATGAGTGGGCCTATCAAACTAGATCCCTATTTTGAAATTAGAATGAGATCCGTAATTGCGAGATAATTGAAATATTAAATGTTATATTTCCTCAAAGTTGACATATGAATCAACAATTCCAGAACAACTTCACTAATACCAGTTTAAACACAAGGATTGACTTATTTTAAGTAAAAAAAAAAAACTATATATAAGGACTACATTGTTTTTATTCAAAATTTGTAAACTGATTAATAACTTAAAAGTTAAGAAACTTAAATTATATTTTCCTTGATATAATCAAACAGGTTTTTATTGCATCAGAAGATATTTGGGAAAGAACTTATACATACATACATATACACACACATATATATTGATATTGATATTGCCATATTGGGATAGAAAACATTAAAAGTAAGACTAATGTACTTAACTTTATATACTTAATATATTTATATCGAATCATATCATGACATGTGGATCCTAATGTATTAATTTAATTAATGACAATACTTTCTTATAGAAAAGATAATTTATAAAAGATCTATATGTTTTGATTTAATTAGATACAAGCATTTTAAGTATATAAGTTTAAGTGTACAAGTTTTTTCCAAACAATTAATTTGATCACTATATATTGAGAACTATTTCTGTGTCTTGCCAGTTACCGCACAAAATTTGAGAAGTAATATGCTATTCATAACAAATAGTATAGCTTTACCATTGATTTTATTTTATATATATATATTGATATTGGGATGGAGTTATGCAATTATGCGCAATATGAAGAAGCAGTGCAGATTCATCTTTGAGAATGACAGGCTCGATCCCTCAGAACTGATTCATAGTTGTCTTTAGCATCTTCATGAGCATGTTGCAGATGGAAATTTCAGGCACATTATCCTCCCGCAATCGGTGGCAACAGACTATATATGTTTGGATCTCACCTCCAGAGAATGCGGTACGCGTTGCGGCGTTGATGTGGATGCCTCAATCAATCCTCAGAGAGATATATGCTGCTAGTGGAGGTATGATTAGAAATTC